TTAGAAATTAGTAAAGCATTAAAATTATTAATGGAATGGGTTCTTAAACGAGTGTAGGGGTATGTAATTTGAAAAAAAATTAGTTCGTTTTGGTTGATTTGTTTTTTGAAAAGGATGGGGTACTTACTAATTATGACATGAACTTCATGAATAAAGTTTGATGGATAGCATGACGCTAGTGTTATATATATATATATATATATATATATATATATATAAAAGAATTTTTCGTGATGTCTAAGTTTCTATCAAACAAAGTTCATTGTTCATGAGAATTGAAAAGAGGGGGGGGAAGGAGGACAAAAAAAAAAAAAAGAAATTGTAAGTGTTTGAAATTTAGAATGATATGTTTTGAGTCCTAATAATTTTATATTTTGAAAATTTTATTAATTTTTTTAGTTTTACATTCTCATATTGATATAATTCTTTATCTTTTATTAGCCTCGTTACTACCCTTGAAAAAGTTCTTTTGATTTGTGTTATGCATGCAATCCGAGTAGTGGAAATTAGATAATATATATTAGTATATGTTTATGAAATGAATTTAAGCGAAACACTTATCATAAACACCGGAGAGTTTGAAAGTTTACCTTATGAGGGTCTATCAATTTAGTTTACTTGTTTTTTTCATAAAAACTATTGCATTGATTAATTTTGGAGAGTTGGAGAGTTTATTCATGAAGCGTTATGATTCTTGAGAGTTTTGATTGTTTTTTTGCTCACAAATTTAAAATATTTATATAATTAAAGAGTTAGTACTAGATTTTAATTAAGTTTTATGTTTTGTCCGAGGACGTGCAAAAGCTAAGTGTGGAAACACTTAATAGTGAGCTTTGTTGATTATATTGATTCTTTTATATTTGGTTTTTTTTTATTGTGTTTTTAGGTTATATGTTCTGCCTAAAGTTTATTTATGTGATTTAAAAAAGATTGAAGGTCAAGGAATAAAAGTAAGCTAACTTAGATGAAATTCCACATTCGTTGGCGATTGACTTTTAGAGAAAGATATAAAATTTTTACATCTTTAGAGCTCCGAACGTGAAAGAGGATTTCTTGAGATTTAAAATGGATAGCTTAAAATTTTTAAGTTGGGTTTAAACACCTAAATTCAAGTTGGTTTGAGTCGTCAAAGTTGATTACAAAATCAAATCAAGAAATCGGATCTTGTAACAGTTTAGAACACTAATCGATATTTGAATCATATCTCAAGTTATAGATATTGGATTAAGTTTCTACGGAAAGAAAACATATAGGCTTATAAATTTCATGAAAAGCCTAAGTCCAAAATTAGCCACATCTAATCCGAAATTAGCTCAAAAGTTCTAACACAAAATCTAAAGTCTCATTCAAGCAAGTTCTATTTAGGAGTAAAGTCTATAAGATAGGATTATAGTTGTCATACTTATATGTTTATATATATAAATAGCCTCTAATACTACTCTAATGAGGTCATGCATGCTTTCATTCATATAATTTAGGGTTTTGTATGCTCGCAATATGTCTTCTTAATTTAATTAATTCGGTTGAAGGGATTTCAACTTAATTCATACAAATTTTTGACACACGAGTTTTATCTTTAACCTATTCTTAAAAATTTGAGTATCTTTTGTTTCTATAATTTTAATTCTTTATGATTGCATAGATAATTGTCTAAGGTGGCCAATTAGCCGATTTTTTGTTGTAATTGATTGCTAACTAACTTTATTAATCCGTAATTGTTATATAAGTTTAATACATGCAGCAATTAGGTTTTTATGATTATGAGCTTAGTTCTCGTGACTATATAAGGGAAACAAAGAATGAATTAAACAATTTTAATCATCTTAAAATTGTAGTTCAATCTTAGTTTTTTTTTTTTTAATTCGTAATACTATTATTAATTTGACTAGAATTACTTCATAGCACAATCAATCGATGATAAAAATTTAATTTGGGTGTTGGGCTTGAATTAATAAATGTAGGAAAGATTTGGATTTATCTAGAATTTAAATACTTCTAGACTAAGTATTCGATGAGAGGATAATGATTTAGGTGTTTATGATTAATCTACAAATTGAATGTGTGATTTTTCCTTGAACTAAAATTTTTCTACATTTACATTTTTTTTCTTTTCTAATTTGGGCATACAACTAATCCTTCCTCATTCTTAAGTTAATTGAATTGATCATCGATCTACCGAGTTTGAACTGGAATTATAAATACTATAAAAAAAATGGTAAGAATAGTAAGAAATTTAAATTTGGTGAGTTCAACAAGTCATCACTTGGTATGAAAGAAAAAGACTTACATTCATTCGGAATGGTGAATGCTTATAAATTAACAATCCAAACATAATACTTTTTACAGGGAATGAGAATCACAATCGTTGCAAACATAATTTGAAAATCAAGAACCAACTATCGATCAACAAATTATTAGCTTACTTGATTATTGTCTATGAATTATTATCTATAAATTATTACCTACTAGTTATAGCCTAATAAGTTCTAAGTCCGTTGAAACTTGGATAAGTGCTTTGTGAGTTTGTTTGTAATTTACAAGTTGACTAGTTTGTGTGTTTTTCTCCTACTACAACTTGTATTTATAGGCTTTTTATTTCTCTATAATCTTCCATAATGAACCACATTCTTCTGCATTTTTTTCATGTATTACGTACTGTTCCATGGTCTTCTTCAATTTTCTATTCTTGTGATGCAATGTTTCATGTTACTTGCAGTTATTCTACTATTCTTGTGTTGCAATGTCGCACATTTCTTATAAAAATCTAGATCATGCCTTTATTAGTTCTAAATTCTTGCTAATCTTCTATTAATTACTTGCTGATTATTTTTCTTGTTCATTAGGACTGCCTCCCCTCGTATTTGTCGATGATTTAAACTTGTTAAGATTTTATATCCCATACATCTCTTACCAAAATTATGTTTGCTTTCGTCATTGCAAGCTCACCTAGTATATTTCGTTTGGATCAGGCTTTTTGAGCCATGGACTGACTATGTATTAGGCCTTAAATAGATATGAGCTTTATGGTGACCAGCTAAAAATGGACTAAGTGAAGTCAATAAAGGAGGAGTTAAGAAGACACTTTTAAGAAAAGACTCATGGGCTCTTTTCTTCTAATTTGTTGGGCTATCAAGCCAGATCAAATTTTGGTATAAAACCTATAAAACAAATTCTCCTGGTTGGATAAAGAACCATTCAATTACTAAGTCAATGTGTTGAGAAAAATAGTGGTTCGAAAAGGAAGTAACACGAACATAAAAGAGATGATGGTACAAATATGAAAGAGATCATGAATACTGATAGTATTAAGAGAAAAAGTATTTTTAAGAAGAAGAAGAAGAAGAAGATACATTCATGAGACATGTCAAGTGGCATCGAGGGAAGGGCAAAATCACTCACACCTCTAATTCTGATTAGAGATGAGTGTTTTTGATGTTGATGGATCATTATTAAACAAACATATTGGTGTTATGGTTGTTGTCGATTGGACAAAAATAACTTTGGACACATGGCTTTATTTAATGAATATACTTTATGTCTCTTCAGTTGATGAAAAATGGATGCAAGTCTTCCACCATTGGCGTACGATAATCCTGATTATTTGTCCAAAAGTCATCTGGATAGGCTTTATCTCTCATGCCTTATCTCTAATGTAATGATATTGACATGTACTATGGTTCTCTCGCTTGTTGTTCTTAAATAATGCTTGAGAGTCACAGGTAACCCGAGTATATCAATATTCTTCTGATTTACAAAACAAGAAGTTCATGCATATACATACAAACAGCCATAATTATCTCAAACAATTCCTATTATCAGGAGCCTTGTTACATCATTATGGTGATTTGTTTTAACAGTTCATATTATTTACAATATTCTAGTAATTTGTTTTAACAATTCATATTCTCTACCATTTTTTAGTGCGACCATTCAAGTGACCAAGACAAATGGTAAAGAAGCAAGCATAATAGTTGATAAACACATCAATCTGATCCTATACAATAGTTTGAATTTTTAATCAACCTGTTATCAGTGATATTTATTGGGCTAGTGAAGTATTCTTGCATAATAAAAAACAAATAGTTCATCCATATAAAATAAAATTCATTGCATGCTGTGACTTCCTAGGTAACAAGTCTATACGCCTTCTGATTAATGGAAACTCCTAATAAAGCTTAGCAGAACAATAATAATAATAATAATAATAAACAACACTAGTGTTCTTTCTCCTCCATGTTAACTAATCAAACCAGTCAGTTTTCCCTTTTCACATCTAAATAAGTAATTAATAATGAATGTCTTATCCGGATTGAGAACCTCTCATTCCTTAAAAGGAGGATAAATGCCATGTTCATCAAATCTAACTCATTGAATTCATTAAATTCAAATAAAATGGTCATAATTAATATATAAATAAAACTTTTAACTTCTTAATATTTTATTTTTCTCATCTAAACTGAATTATTGAAATCAATTGAATTCAAAATCAATGCTGAGATTTGAAACATGACTGGTCATATTCCTTTATAAACTTAAAGAGGATCCAAATTTGTCTTGTCCGACATTAAGATGGAAAATATATAACACTTCTCAGAACAGGAGAAAAATTAATAAATTCAATAAGACATATCTGATTATGACATAGGAAAACAGGTAGAAGACAATCAATATAGCATAAATCATTCAAAATTCCATAAACCTGCAAATCAACAGTTACGAGAGAATTGCATGACTGTTAGGGCCAAACCGACCTTGAATGACTTTTGTCGTGTTAATCCACGTGGTTAGATCAGTACATATGAGTTTAACATCCTCCTTTTATTAACTCCTCTTTTCCAGAAAAAGAAGTTAACAATTATTAGTTATTCCTCATAAACATAAAGCATAAAAAGATTCAAGTTTCCAACCATGTGGAATACCTGCATTGCCAGAAAAAAGGCTAACAGATCCACGATTTCTCATGTCCAGAAAGGTGAACCCCATCCTTTAAAGTTAATACTCTAAGCCACTGCACCATGCTGTTGATGCTCCGAAAACCATTCAGCAGGCCACCATTTTGGTCTAATGGCCTCAACCTTTATGTCATCCTGCCCTCGTATGGTCAATGAACCCGACCCTTTAAAGGCTTCTTCTAACCGCAAAACACCCAGCCCTCTACAGCCAAGTGCAGTTGTCACAGACCCAATTTTCTTTCCAGATGCTGTGTTGATGACTTCTGAACCCGGAGAAACTCTGTGCTCCATATCTAAAATACAAAACAAGATTTGCTTTATGTACAAATAAAAAATGGATGCTATAAAAGCCAAATGGAACGGAGAATACCTTTTCCACTATCATCAAGAAACACTAAAGAAAGCAATCGTTTGCGAATGACACCTCTGTGGTGTGTCCGAGCTATAAACTCTTGGCCCACATAGCATCCCTTTTCAAAGCTTATTGCGTTTAAACCCTCCAGATTGTATTCAAGTGGAACTGCCTCACCTGAACAATCCAAATAAATCAAGTTCAGGATGAAAGGTCAGAATACCAGTAAAGATTGGAGAGCAAAGGCAAGCAATTTGAGAACACTTGGAAAATACTAATGCTAGTACGCCTCCAATACAGTTGGACATTCAAAGCGTAGAAGAAATTCATCAAAAGTGAAGAAAAGGATGAACCTTTGGGAATCTCAGTTGAGCCCTCTGCAACCCCATTCTCAATTCTCCATAATCGGTAATTTTGTTCATTTGTTTCTTTGTCATATTCAACCAAAGGTGCTGTAACATCCGAAATAGTAGGGGGAAAAAAGAATTAAAACTAAATAAATAACCAATCATTTAATCAGCCAGAAGGTTTAACTCGTAATGAGCTTTTCAGCCTCATAGCCTATGTGCTGTTGTGTATTAACATCAAGCAACCGACGAAGGCTCAGAAAACTCACGAATCTCATTAGATGAAAAGATACCCCTGAAACCAAGACAATCTACTCTGGGATCCTTAAACCATTGCCATCCAACATCATTCCCATGTGAAGATGACATGGCAGAATGATCAACACCAGAGCCCCAGCCAACACTAGCTGCCTCTGGTTCCTCTTCAGCTTTTGATTTTTCAGCAAGGTTTCCACCAAACCACTGCCAGCAAGAGAAGTCTTCTGCCACATTATCAATTTCAACCTTAGACCTTAGCCGGTATCTGTAAAATGAAAAGAAAGTTAAAACTTACACAGCCACTTGAAAAGAAAAGCCCACAATTGGTCAAATAATCCACCACCATCATTCCATAAAACAGTAACTAACTATATAAGGACATTTTTTGGCAAATATTTCTCCAAACATCAGATCAAGCCCGAGTTCATAGGAAGGCCTGTGCAAATGAGACATTTCGTGACCGATCCCTATATAGCTTCTGCATGTAAAATCCTGGGGGCATCAATGACTACAACCACCACTACATTTTAATTGATAAATTTAAACCCCAATGAGATCTACAATTACAGTTATACGTACTCGTTCAGGCAGTTTAGCTAACTAACTAGCAGACCGCATTCATCAACTTTCCCAACTAAAGTTTCCCCAGCTAAATTGATAACTACTCAAAGTAATCGCTACCAGTATGACTATGAACATTAAACAACTACAGAAAAATATATCCTCTCAATATCCAACGGCAGTGCCCCCTAAACCAAGCAAGCATGCCCTACCCCTTCAATCCATCTCCTACTTAACAAGTGAACATGTTAGAATTCTAAAAGTTATAGCAAATCCTTATCCAACGAACAATGCCATTTGTTCAAAGTTTCTTTCCTTTTCTTTAGCAAAAAAAGCCAATTCAATTGAAATAGTATCTAACGAGAATCAAACTTTCTCTAAAACTTAAAAATCATTCACATCGAAGAACCCAATTAAGAGAAACAAATCACTTACTTTTTAAAAGTCTGCAATAGTTCATCAAGAACCGAACTATCCACATCAGCAAACAACTCCAAATCCCCACCCGAATCCGACCCGGGACCCGACCCGGACCCATCAAGCTTCTCCTCAGTCCGAGGCTTTCTATACAAAAACAAATCATACAAGAACCTCCCTTGTGGAGTCAAAAACGCAGCGTACATCGGAGGGACATAGACGGAAGGCAAATTTGGAGTGGGCACATACGATGTTGTCTCGCTTGGGAGTTCACTGAATTTTTTAACATCGTTTGTCAACAAACCTTGTAAGAATTTGAATGTGTCTGGACCGCTGAACCGGATTACGGACCGGGATTTTAAGAGAGAGACAAGAGGACTAGCGCTAGTGTTGTTTAAGGAGTGGTAGCTTTTGGTAAAGATTGATTTGAAAAGACGCATCTTTTGGTGATGTTTTTGTGTTCTGTTTTGGGTTTTTCAGGTGGTGCTGGGTGGAGATGACGGGGTTTAAGGGAGCTGGGTTTGTGACACGTGGAATTGAACACGTAGGGGTTTTAGGCTTTGCCCTCTTCGGATGGAGGAAACGTGTAAAATTCAGTTAAACCTGTCAATAGATGATGATTTCCTCGGCTAGGAATTTCTGAAGAACAAATTAACTAAAAAAACTAATAAAACGTTATTTCACTGTAAATTCACTATTTGAAATACTGTATATATACACATATTTTATTATTTATAATTTTTTTACGCTCTGACTTTTAATATTTTCGAACGCATATTTCGATTCACATATTTATTTTCTCATTCATTTTGATCCTTAGATAATGAGAAAAGGCTAAGAAAAAGAAAAGAGAGAGATCGTCCGTCAAATTTATTTAGGCCATTAAACAATTAGAAAAAGTAGATCGAAGCTAAAAAAAAATTGATTTAATTTGTATTTTTTGTTTTGTTTTTGTGTGCATTAAAATGATTTTTAAGGTCTTATATATGTTTATTGACTTTATTTCAATCATTTAGAGGTATTTAAAAAAAATTTATGTCAAAATTTAATTTTTAAGGATCTAAAAATTTACCTTTGACTTGATTTTTTGACGAATCTTTCGATGAACTTAAGCTTGTTGAAAGTTGCAATTTTTATTTTTTTACTTTTTTTTTTTTTACTTTTTTTTTTTTTTTACTGAGCAGTAGCTCAGGCCTTAGCTGGCCTGGCGCGCATTTTTTTTCTCGAAAATCTGTATATATATACATATATTTGCACCAGTCGCCAGTGCTGACTATTTTTTTTTTCTATGCCATACAGCTTATTTGAAAAGAATAACGAGCTTGTCCTGTTTTTTTTCTTCCTAAATGTATATTATATAATATATAAGAATATATAACTATATAGAGAGAGAGAGAGAGATTTATATTTATATATACGAAAAAATGTATATTATATAATATATAACAATTATATATATTATATATAAAGAAAAAAACAAAATATATACATAAAAAAAGAATATATATATATATACACACACACATAGAATTAGGTGTGAAAAACATAAAAAAATAAATCATCATAATTTTTAGATGATGGAATATATATGATATTTTTTTAGATTTTAGTTTAAACATATATATGTGATTATATTACTTTTATTGTTTAAATTTTATTTCTTAAATTATTTGTTTCTTATTGAAATTCTCATCATATTTATTTTTTATTTTATTTTATTTTTAATAAATTTAGTTTTTTGATATATGAATTTTAGAATAAAAATTTAGAACATTAATTTTTTATTTTTAAAAAATATATTATTATAATTTATACAATAAATTCTTCTTTTGTTTTTTATTTTTTAAATTATATTATTATAATTTATAAATTCTGAGAAAGGGAAAGAGAGAAAGAGAAAGAGAGAAATAAAATTATGTTTTAGATATTCCGACTCATTTAAAAAATAATAATAATTATTAGTTAAAAGAATTCATAAGTTTTATTTTTACACACACATATATATATATAGATCAAAACCAATTTTATTATAGTTTTTATTTTTATTTTAATTTGTTGACTTCAATATATTTTATATAATTTAGGTGTTATATATATATCGTAGCATAGCGCGAGTATCTTATACTTTTTTTTTCAACTTCAAACTTTAATTGTATTGTAATTTTATCGCATTTTATCTTAGTGTTTTTTATAATTATTTTTATTATTTTAAATTTGCTACTTTAATTTGTCATTCTTATTTTAAATTCTTATCCAATTAATTTAAAATTATATGGTCCTCAAATTTTCTATACAATATTTTTAAAAAAAATTTAAACTTTAATTGTATTATGATTTAATCCTATTTTCTAATACGTTTTTATTTTTTTAATATTTAAAATATTTAACTTTAATTTGTCCTTTTTTCAAATTCTCATCCAATTAATTTCAAATTATATTTAATGACGAGTTTTGGTTTATTTTAATATTATTTATTCTTTTCTCATCCAATTAGTTTAAATTTATATGGCCCTCAATTTTTTTATAAAATCTTTTTTTTTTTTCAAACCTTAATTATATTGTGATTTTGTCTCATTTTGTTTGTGTTTTTTATTGATTATTTTTATTATTTAAAATTTACTGTTTTAATTTTTCATTTTAAAAAATTCTCATCCATTTTATTTAAAATTACATTAAGATATTTAAAATATTTTTCATCTTTAATTTCATATATTTTTATACATTCACATCATTAAACAGACTACCAAACTAAAATGCTTTTAAACAAGCTTGGTTGCTTCTGTTTGCCAAGCGTTCACCGGTGTTGGAATTTAGAGGGCAAAGGATGCACAGTAGAGTGGGACCTGAGGTAAGCCAGGCTTGGTGGGCTGAGGTTAGTAGACTGAGGTAAGCCAGGCGTGCATACAGATCCTGTAAAAAGGCCAGATATCATAACGGACCCAACCCCATAGGGCCCATACCATACTAGTTGATACCGTTGTCAAAACTGCAGGCTGCAGTTTAATTCCTGCTTTCACCCTCTGATCGGTCCATGAAAAAATATGTGATTATCAATATTGTATTTTGCAAGAAAACCCTTTCAGGTTGTTACTTTGTCTTTTGTTCTCCAGCAGTTTCCTTCTCCTCATCCTTGGTTTCGCTGATCAATTACGTCAAATAATCGTATTTAAACAAAAATGAAGTCGCATCAAGGTCCAACCCATGGTTTTGTAAGCAGTAACAGCCTAGGCAATAAATATCCTTGAAAATATTCATTTCTCTCCTGTTTTTCCTTGGTAAACAATTCATAGGCCATGTCAAACAGAACTTAATTATTAATTATTCGAGTTCCAATTCCATAGAGTACTTACCATACAAACTTCCAAATTAAAGATCTGGCCTTGTCCATGACTACTCGTGATAGTTGTGAACACGTTTTTTATTTGGTCTAAATATATGCATTGGACCACGTTGGCTGTATTAGCCACCCATTAAAATGATCCGCCATGCGCACCAACTAGACATCCAGAATGTATAAACATTCATGCACCAAATCCAACACATAAAAACCAGCACCCATTGTTTCGACTTAATTAATATTATGTTTCTCCATATATGTATATACTTTTCAACGCTTAATTATTTTATCTTTTTGAAATACTTTGATTCACTCACAAGGCAGCCGCAAAAAGAGATAAATATGAGATTGGATTGGCATCATTAAAATAGGCACATCAAAACACAAGCAATCATCCTCTTCCCTGAACTTATAGAGTTGGAGAATTTTCATTGAATTTCTAGAAATGTATCCAGTCAAGTTAAATTTTCACTTTGTTAGAAAGATTCTAGATGTGGATGTACCTAATTTAATTAGGTTATTGTTGGACGTCAACTTCATGGCCGTCAAATTAAATATTTTGAGAAGGAAGTATTAAAGTATTTGACAGCTCGATCGATCTAGCAAAAGGGACGACTATTTGATACGCACTACATCAGCAATATTTCTTTCATTTTATTTGTGGGTTATTTCAGCTGAGAGAAAGTCAAAGCTCTTTTTATATGTTGATGAGATATGATATGGTCTGTCGGCTTCAAGCAAATTCAAGAATTAATGATGGGATTTCCATCGCAAAACATGGAAATTAGTTTCGTCAAATTTTAAGAACAAATGTCTTGTCTGCATTTATCAACTTAATTTCTTGGAAAAACTATAAATAAAAAGATATGCATAGTGAGGACCGCAAACAGCTGATGATTGGGTCAACATCATTGGCCGCCAACACTCGTTCAAGAAACTTGTTTCTGACTTTTAGAAATCGTCGTACTGTCCTTGGGATTATACGGATACTGCGACCTAATTGACTTCCTGATCCATTAAGGGGATAGATATGGATGTCTGAGCAGTTGACAGAGTCGGTCTTGAAAACCCATTAATAACCCAAGTTTTGATAGGGATAACTGGGGTCTTTGGCCTCATCTTCTGTTCTCATTTTTCTGTTGTTCTTAATAAACAAATTGAGAGTGGAATAAGGATCCATCTCCATCATTCCATAACATCCAATAGGATCGATTTAGTGATTAATTAAGGTTTACTTGCTCAGGTTCAAACAACATTTCTATGTTTGGCTCGTATGTCCAAGCTATGATTTATCGATCGATGGACCATGAGGTGGTTGAATTTTCATGCATGGTTATGGAATATAATGATGATATTTGATCTCTAATCGGCACCCATACGTATATCTAGTTGAATGTCTATATCCATATTGATGCAGTTGGCCCATAATTGGTTTGATAATAGCAGACACCATCAATTTGCAGCCGCACTAGACTACTAGAGCTCTAGATTATTACTGCATCATGAGGCATGCTGTTGACTGCACCGGTTGAAAGAGTCACCTACTAGTATATATACAATATCATACATATAAATTCAAAAGCTGTTTTCGTATTTTTCTGTGGGCAATATAGCATGGCCATACCATGGGACAGTTCGAAATCACACCTAGGTTATACGGTCAATAGAGGGAAAAAAAAAACAAAACACCAATCTTACGTACATGCTCACAAGCAGAAAACTAGGATACACAACACAAATGAAGACAACGTACGGAATTCCAAGGTTGAAAAAAGAAATTTTATTAATATCAAAGTGGGGGAATAAACTTAAATTTGGTATGCAAAAGCTGATCCAATCATATGATCATATATATATATATATATATATATATATAATCCAACGGCTAGCTACCAGCTGGGCACTCGAATCCTTTTGAATTAATCTCTTTTGCGTGTAATCTTGTAGGTACACACGAGATGATCTTATCTAACACGATCACTAAGCTAGTAATTATATATATTAATTCTCGAGGAACAGAGGAAAATTAATATCGTTAATTTGTTGATAACTAAATATTCTGACCGCGTGATTTCAGAGTAAAAAGGTAGGGTATATATGATAGTACATACTCCTCTAAGCAACTCACATTTGGAAAGATTCCAAAACCACCTTGGTTTTACATTATTAATATGCTAACGCTAACGCTAATGCTAATCCCAATCCACCACACGTTGGATATGCGCGGTTTAATGTCAACGGTCCAATTAAAAACTACCTTTTAGGACCCTTTCTGTCGCAAATAAAAAGCCAACTCATACATCAACTTCTCGCATCGTCAACTTCGAAGAAGCAAAACACAACTTGAAGAAAGGATACGAAATGAAGCTAGTCTGGTCACCTGAAACAGCATCAAAGGCCTACATCGATACTGTTAAATCAGTAAGAAAATAAACTTTTCTTGATTATTTGTCACAATTAAATTGCTTTTCACATATTCTGTTTGTACATGATCTGATGAAATTGTTCGTGGGTGTTAATTTGTTTGCAGTGTGAGGTTTTTCAAGAATCCAGTGTGGCTGAGCTTATTTCAGCCACTGCTGCAGGATGGAACGCCAAACTTATAGTAGAAACGTGGTCACGGGGTGGAATTCTCGCCACAAGTATTGGTCTAGCCATAGCTAGCCGCCACACAGATGGAAGACACGTTTGTATTGTGCCTGATGAACTTTCAAGATCAGAATATGAAGAAGCCGTGGGAGAGGCTGGGATGTCACCGGAAATTATCGTTGGGGAAGTAGAAGAGGCGATGGAGGGGCTTGTGGGCATAGATTTCTTGGTGGTGGATTCGCGGCGGAGGGATTTTGCTAGGGTGTTGATGCTGGCGAAGCTAAGCAGCAGGGGTGCTGTTTTGGTGTGCAAGAATGCTAGTACAAGGAATGGATCAAGTTTTAGATGGAGAAGTGTTGTTGATGGCGGATCGCGACGACTAGTGCGTTCTGTATTTCTTCCAGTAGGCAAGGGATTGGATATTGCACATGTAGCAACCAGTGGGGGAAGTTCCAGTAATTCAGGCAAGGGTGAACGCCGATGGATCAAGCATGTTGACAGCCTATCCGGAGAGGAGTACGTCATTCGAAAGTGATCTCTCATAGACATGATTTTGATATTCTTCAGTTTTGTGCATAGTAATTTCACTTTTCATGCCTCTTTTCCTCTTCTTTAGCAGACAATTACTTGTACAGATAAATTTTTTTTTTTATAAAAAAAAGGAATTACTTACTGTATTCCTTCTAAATATTCTCTTGTTTCTTTCACCCTCTTCCTTCCCCTATAACCCCACCGCTAAATAGTAAAGGGATTTTCTGATGAAAATACACGGAAACTTCCAGACTAGTACCATATGATCAAAATCCCTATAACTTGTTTACAGTTATCTGAAAGAATGAATTACAAAGAGCGGGGAAGTAAATATGCTTAGCTTTTTTCTTCCCAGGAAGTAAGAATGCCATGAGGACTTAATAGCTCGTTGTAAAATATCGAGAATCAAATGCAATGTGAACAGGTTGACATCTCGTAAAAACAATCCACAAGTATATATGGTGCAACTTTGACAAAAGAAAATCTTCAGTTGTAAAAAGTTTTAGTGTATACACTATATCTATACAATAGCGCTAAAATGAGTGGTCATACACAGCAAAAAAAATACTTTCTAGCACAGTTTCTCAATTCCTGGAGGATTTCTGGGGTGTAATCTGATCCATCTTTACTTGTCAACTGGATTTTCATCATTACACAGAACAATCGGTGCTTTACACATGTATTCTTACACGGAACATGTTTACAAGGAGGAAAAAAAGCATGTAACCGCCCAGAAATTGATAATACTAAACTTTGGTAGGATGTCAACTTATGAATTGCTCCCAGATCGATAGGTTTACTAATAAACAATCTAGTCCCAACTGTTCCGATTTCTTCTAAAAGCCTTCTTGTCTGAAAGAACTTTCTTGCCTTTCAGTCGCTTCTGCTCCCCGATAGCAGCCCTATTGAAACATAGAAATTTTAATAAAAGTCAATCCTGATCCCTTCACAATCTAATCCAGCTGACTCGATTAGATAACAAGGAAGGTTGCATAAGGAAATCCATATATTTCTCAGAAACTACACAGGGATGGTCAGTAACACTCACAACTTGGCAATTTTCTTCTTTTGCTCTTCCGAAGGAGGAGGTGGAACATAAGAAGCCGCATCAATGATCGCCTGTTAGCTCATCAAACCAGAAAAAACTAAGAAATATACTAGTAGGCAAGCTTATGGAAAGGTCAAGCAAGGAAATATTTAAAAGCATGTCACATAGTGATGTAGCATAGATCATCTGCACAAGAATTCAGAATTGAAGAAACATAGGGCAAGCTCATTTCATCTATGTGCCAGACACCATTTGACCTACTATCTCCAGAAATGTATATATAATAGAAAGCAATGCATGATTGTTTTGCATTTAGAAGAAATCAACTATCACAAAATCTTTGATACCTGTAGCTTTGCTAAAGCATCATCGATGTTACCCCTGAGGAAAAGAATCAAACCAGTTGTTTTAGTTGCAAAAAGGCAAAAGAAGTAACAGAATAGAAAAAGGAGCAGAAACTAACTTTTGTGTTCTAGTCTTTGTCGAAGAAATCACAATCTCACCATCCTTGTTAATGCGATTCTTTTCCTGTTCACAAACAGAAAAACAGATTGAAAAAACACTGCATGACCAAAACCACAAGGACAAGCATTGATGATTTAATCCCTTCTCTTGTTGATGAATTATAACAGAAGACACAGCTGAATTTCCAAAAGAAAGGATTCGTCTAATTTATCTAATTTCAAGTCCTCCCACATCAGCCAGGAGTGGAGGGTGTGTTAAGGTGGTCTCATGTACCACTACTGATCCTCAGATCAGGACCACCATCTTGCTCCCGCTTGACCACAAAAGCAGAACTAGACTTTGTTTAGGACATTACCATTTGCATGATCCTCTCTCTCATCCTGTCGCTTAGCCAATATGCGTTTTTAACATTGAAGCGCATGTCCACCTTGGAGTTAACTGTAAACAAGTTACGAAACCCATAATTAGGAATCATAAGGCAGCCAGGATTAGGGATCATAAGACATCAGAGGGAAGAGAACAGACCTTTGTTTACATTCTGGCCGCCAGGCCCACCACTTCTTGCAAAACTCACAGTAACATGGTCTGCATGGACATATAAGTTGAGCTAAAAATTACTTATAACACAATGAACAAGAATTTATAATAAAGAATGGGGTAAGCTGTATCTTAATCATAGAATAGGCCATGTATTGATTTTCAGCATAAATTTCCAAAGAAACATCTGGCAACCATAAACAAAGTGAGCCAATAATAATATCTAACAACCCACAAAGAAAATAGCAGACCCTATTACTCTATGTTACCATTTTTCAGCCATGAGTAGAAAACAGAACCTGCTCTAAATACAAAGAAGGCCTATGAAAATTGAAACAATCAGCATCAAGCCAAGGGGGAATCCAAGAAAGGCAGACTCTCGTCCAAGATTAATGAATTATCAATAGTCTAGCTGGTTAGTACTTAGAACAGGGTTGCCCCGTAGCAAATACTATGTATGCTAAACAACCCAACCGTAAGTATACTCTCTACAAACTCCTAACAGATGCAAATTTTTCTCAGCTAAAACTTCAGTCGGGCAATAGAATTCTTCTTTAACGACCTCCAACGACAATTCTGCATTACTTATTCTTCGGCAAAGCCAGAAGTAGGATCAATGATTAGTTTGCCGTAATCAGTTCTCACATTGCTGCATCTAAAGCACTGGCCAACAACTAAGATTTATAGAGCCCATAAAGTCAAAAACAGCAAAAAGAAAACCCCCCGACAGCTTTTATACCATTTAGCCACTGTAGAGGATAATTTTGATTTACTTAATTTCAACAATAATTAAGATTCAGATTACTGAATTAAGGTCATTTTAAGTTCTACTTGGTTACTTAAACACTTACGAGGAATTAATTCCTCCTCCACAATTTTCTTTTAGTAGGCATTGGGCAATAATCAGCCCGAAATATGTTAAATACCGAGTGTAATTTTGGGAGGCGGCTCGTTCCCGGCGACGCTGGCTCGCTCCTCAGCTTCTTGCAGTAATTGCTGAACCTGAGACAGCCGAGCGGATACCTTCTTATCATCGGAAGCCGCACATTTAATCCGGCTGAAGCTGATTTCGCGATTTGGTGGTTTAAGGTTAGCCCAGCTACTCACAGAAGAGGAAGACAATGGTGGTATTGGCCGATGATTGAGGAAGAATTGTTTGAGAATCGTGTTGGTTGTGGTTCTGATAACCGCCATTTTTGTTTCTTGGTCTTTTAAGTGAGTGAAAACCTAGTTCTGAGTGAGATTTATGGCTCTGTTTAAATTTCGGTCTAGTGGTTCTTAGCTTTTTAACCAATGATGCGGCCCAGATTGACCATAGGCCTCTTCCTACGTGACAACGTTGACAAACTTTTCTGGGTAGCATATTTCCCCCTATTTTTTTTATTTCTTTCTTTTTTTTTTTTTTTTTTTGGCAAAATTCGTAATTGCAGTTTAATTGAGTAAATTATAAATTAGTCCCTCTGGTTAAAAAAAAAAAACAATTATTTAATCTTCTTCATATTTTTCAATTCATGTTAATTTTTTTGTTTTAAATAAATAAATAAATAATTGATGCAAAATTATTTTATAAATTATAAAAATGTTAAATTAGTCTCAATCAACACAGGTTTAAAAAAATTAAACAATTAATTTTTAAAACCATAAAAAATAATTAAATAATTAATTTCTAAAACCATAATGATTAGTTAATTCGTTTTTCAAAATGAAAGGGACTACTTTATAATTTAGCCTAGTATAATTCAGAGTCAAAATAAATTTAGTTCTTGAGGTTGGAAAGCGTCTGCTGAGAGGCAGTCCCTTCTCAGAAATCAGAAAATATCGGCCCAAATACAAACACAGGAAGCTCATAAAGAAGTGAGCAGAAACAGCTGTTCTTTAGTAAAAGAAAATCTGAAGATCCCAAGTACAGCTCTGAAGGGTTCAAGCAGAAGATTATCATTAACAATATACATCTGATACATTGGAAACTAAGGTCCAATACGATATGTTTAACATCCAGCGAGAAATGAAGATCTCCATACAATAATCGTGGTCGTACGTTCGGGAAAGAAAAATCACTGGCAGCAATCATCTAAGATGTACTTTATTGACCAGCTTCTCTGGCTGCAGCTGATACATACATTGTCGAACTGATCAATGAACAGCTACAGCTATTTCCTATATCCATCCTACTACCATAAGTAAGGGAGCAAGAAAAGGTAGGGGGAGCACTGGGAAGGAAGCATATTTGATGGTTCTACTCTTTGCTTCTTGATCAGTGCCTATTTGATGCGTCTCCTCTCTGATTCTTAATTGTTTGGTCTCCATCGATGATGACCTTTCATTTCTTTGACATCCGATGAACCTTTCCTCCTTCCCACCTGCTGCATGCGTGAAGATCCTGCCCCAACTGTGGTGTCTGGTACCATTCTCCTAGAGTGCTGTGATACTTCTGTTGAAGGAAGTGCCCAACCTCCTCTGCTTGCCTGTGCATTCTGTGCATTGCTGCTAGCCCCTAGAGCTCAAAATTATCAAGCAAAATAGATATCAGCAACCCCAGCAAAATGAAATAAGCACCCAAGCCACTGTGCTTCAAGAGTGTTGCAGCTCTGTTGCAATAACATCAGATGCTAAAAGCCAGTTCAGATTTTAATGCTGCCATTCTCACTCAGTCAAACTGAGAATCAGTTTAACACATTCACATATTCATCTAATACATGCACATCCATTTAATTGGAGAGGCACAGACTATCAACAAAGACAAATAGCAAATATACAAGATTATTCCCATCAGCTTCAGCCACTTCAACTACCCTACGCATAATTCTAAGTACATGGATTTGGGTAATTCATAGGGTAGGAAAATATGAAATTGCTGAAATTTGACAAAGATCTTGCATAAACATTTACACTGCAAGGTAAAGAAGCATCCCCCTGCTCCCTCACCCTGATTCACATGTATTATATCTGCATACCATATGCACTGATTGATTCTTAAAACTAAATTAAAGAAGTGTCTACTAGCCTCTGTGCTATTGCATGCACAGCTGCCACTCAGTTTTTATATAGCCGCATCTATACAGCAACCAGTCACATGAATCACAAAAGACGTTATACAGTAAAAAAAAAAAAAAAAAATTCTTCATGTGTCCATCAACAACACAACCCTGTTACTGCAAATAAGTAGCCCGCTAAAATGAAAAGAGAGAGAGAGATACTTTAACACAAGAAATATCTTATCGTGCAAGAACACAACAATGTTTGAAGTACAAACATCACTGCAAAAATATGAGGAGAGCACTACAAAGCAGTCAAAGCAATCTTACCCAAGTTATCAATGCCAGTGAAACTTCCAGTCGAGCCAGGCAAATGCTTTCCAGCACTTCCCCTCCAAGCTTCTTCGAAACCAGTAAGCTCATCTAGTAACAAAAGGATCCCAATCCTAAACTTAATCCTTTTGGGAACATAAATAAGAATCGGGACATGATAGAAAATTTGACTATGTACCTTCATTAAGATTGTGCAAGGTCTGCATTGTATCGACCTTACCATCTGAATTAAGCTTCCTTGCAAGGCTATGGCCCTATAAAATTAACCCAAAGCATTTACAACACATTCTATACCCCATAAAAGGAAACCCTAAATGTAAAATCAAAGGTAAGAATATCAAAATGATAATCACACATAACCTTGTTCTGAAGTCCTCTAGACACCTTGTGAGTTGCTTGGCCAGTAGTACTATCAGCTTCTTTGCTTTCTTCAAAAGTCACCTGTTTCACGAGGTCACATAAATAATAGAACTAAGGAACCAACTGCAAACATCTCTCAAGAGAGAAATTACTCACTCCATCACTCCCTGCCCTTCTTGTATTGGAAGAAGTATAGTAAGCTCCATTTGCACCACCATATGTGAAAGTCGAACTCTGAAAAGTGAAGCTGCGTCCTTGGGGTTGTGGCTCCATGCGGTTGAACCTACTATAATCATTCCTATACTGCAAGTGCTTGCTCTTTCTGGCTGTAACAAAGAGAAAGAACATACATTACATACATATTTACTAAGTTTAAAAACATTATCACACCTTCAGCGCAATAGATAAGATATTATGCACACGAAACAGAATGCAAGAAGACATCTCACCTTCGGCTTCATCATCTGGGTCCTCAACATATGGCTCGTTACTGGACCTACCATGTTTTCTAGGATTCTCTTTCTTCTCTTTATCTCCTTCACCTTCCTCGTCATCAGAACCTAGCTCTTCAATAATTGGCCCCCTTGATTTTTTCGGCTCTGGAGCTTGATGCTCAATAAATCCAGATGGATGCATATTGGCAAAAGGAGATGGATGCATATTGGAAAAAGGAGATGGATGCATATTGGCAAAAGGATTTCCACCAGAACCAAAGAAATTCGACTCGAACACACCGCCAAATGGGCGTGTGAAGAACGGATCATCAAATGGATCCCTTCCCCCGAAAAAACCAGAGAGCAAACTTCTCTGACCCCCAAAACCACCAAAACCACCAAAAGGGTCACCATTACCAGAGAAAGGATCCCCGTTGCCCCTGCCTCCTTGCATTTTCAAACAAATACAGCACCTGAAAAACCGGAAAACACCATTCCATTTCCCAAAAAAAAAAAATCAGAATTTTAGACGATCAAAGTGGACAACGATCATAATTTCTATCCCAAATTTTATTTGGCAGAATTGCGCTTAATTCCATTAAAAAAAAAATCGCACTTCGTGCAAAAATTAACAAGCACTGGTCAAAATATAAAACCCTAGACACCAGAGAAGAGAAAGAGGGTACCTTCAAAGACGGAAATAATAGGCAATTTGGAGAAATTCCAAGAGATTCGAGTGAATCGAACCCTAACAGGAAAGATGAAAGAATGCTTCGATGCAGGGGTTTCGTGAATTTTCTCGGCTTGTATTGTAGGCGTAAAAATGTTAACCGACTCTGGAAATGTGAGAGAGAGAGAGAGAGAGGCGGAAGGTTCTAGTGTACCCGCGGACACGGTAAGAAAAGATGATATTATTAATGAATGTGTGTTTTAGGCGCTGTAGTTGTCCACTAATTCCACTCCGGTAACAATTCATCTTATCCTTTCGTAAAGTAACTAATTTTATGGTATCTCCGATAATGCTATACACAAGTCTTTTCACCCCTCTCTAAATCTCATCATTAAATTCATATACCCAAAGGTAGCTTTTATATATCTATATATATGTGTGTGTACAGATAAAAGGATATTTTTTAATCAACCCATGTCAATTTAAACTAAAAAATAGAGACAGTAGCAAGTATTTATAGTCAAGTTTAGAGTATTAATGCCATATCCAAATTCATTATCTATATCTATCTATTATCCATCATATAAAAATTTGAATATCCATGTTCAACCTATTATTTCGAATATCTGTTATTTAAGTACTATTTATTATTCGACATAAAATAAAAAGATAATATATATGTTAGTTTTTTTCCATTAAATACAATATATACTTATACCTCAAATTAGTCTTATGCACACATATTTGTATAATATTTAAAATTTTGTTATATGTAAATACACACACACACCTCGTATATGTGTCAAGTTGGGTCGATTTAACAATATTCATATCATATCCATTATCCGATATGTAAAAATTTAGAATAATCATACACGATATGAAATAATAACTATCCATTAAAAAAAAAAAAAAAACCTTATTCATTCAGATTGGCTTCAATGGTATCCATTGGATTTGAGTTAAATTATCATCACTAATCGGGACTAAATCCACCTTTAGGTTGTTAACTTGTTGTCCGAGCTCAATCCACATGTCAAATTGCCAAGTTGATCAACCAAAACATCAAGCTTTGATTAATTTCGATATTAGTTTACAAAAACCTTATGCAATTCTAAGAGGGCAAGTTGGTTTATTTTGAGAACGAGACTCCCTCGTAATTTAAATTTAATCACAAAATACGAGATTAGAAACTAAAATCTAAAAGTATATTTGTTTATTTTTGATAGATATTTGTTTGATCCCAAATTGCTATTTGCTCAAAAAGTTTACATATATGTTTTCTATTCATTTTAACAAGTGTGTTCCAAGGGTAGAGTGTTAGTGGATTTTTTATTTAAGTATAATTGACAAAAATGATTTAGCAAAATAATATTTCCATTTGATAGATATTTGTCTAATCCCAAATTGCTATTTGCTCAAAAAAGTTTACATATATGCTTTCTATTCATTTTAACCAGTGCATTCTAAGGGTAGAGTGTTATTAGATTTTTTATTTAAGCATAATTGACATAAATGACTTCACGAAATAATATTTCCTTTTGATTAAAAGCTAATAAAAGACAATTACGTTACATGAGAGTATTGGTTACTTTAAAAGAAATCTTTTATTAGCGTTTAATCAAATGAAATATTGTTTCGTGAAGTCATTTCTATCAATTATGCTTAAATCGAAAATGAATCATGACAGGAATTCAAGGAAATACGAGAATGTCATTATATGAGAATAGTCGAACCTTTTATTTATCTTATTTTAATATTTGAGTTATTATTTGTTGTAATTATCATTGTGGATTCTTCTAAATTTTTAGTATATCTTTTGATTTAATTCGACATGAATTATCCTCAATTTTGACAAATTTTAATAATAAATACACCATAACAATTTCTAGTATTATCAAAGTTTGTGTGTCATTCACTTAAAATTAATATAAGTCTTGGTGTTGGATCAAATATAAAACCAGACAAACTGATAATTAGAAATTCATATACATTTTACAATTTCGTGTAATGATTGTATAAGAGAGAGATAGGAAAAGACAAATAAAGAAACATATGAAATACTTCTTAAGGAAAAACAACCAAAAAAAGAAAATGTACCCTTATAATTTTTTATTTTTTTACCTCTCAATCATATAAAATTAATCAATTGTAGATCTTGAGTTTTATCTTATCCCTAATGTGTTTTAAACAAGGATTCTATTTACGATTCATGATTTGATTTAAATTTTCCATAACACTTTGAAACTAATTTTCTTATTGAAAAAAAAAGACCCTACAAACTTGTTTCTAAAAAAAAAATATAATTTCTTTTTAAAGATTTTAAAAACATCAAATAATAAGAGTTTTGATTGAAATCAAGAGCCTTTATCCCTAAGCAAGCTCAAATCAAGACACTTCTCCCAATCCCATTTTCAATTAAAAGCTTTTTAATTCATCATTCCGTTCCTCTTCTTATTTTCTTCTTCTTCTTCTTTTTTTCTTTTTTTTTCTTTTTTTGGCACATAGACATCCACGTGCAAGGAAAAAAAATCAACTCATGCTTCGTTGGTATTAACACCTTAACGAGTCCAAGTTACTGGATGTTTTAGAAAATATTAGTCGGATACTTGCACTTTGCTAGGAGCATTCTTGTTTTATACTTCTTTTAGTCGAAAATTTGTGCTTGTGAGTGGAAATAGTTGATATTCAATTTGTTATGAATATCTATTATAGTTTTTTTTTTTTTTTGTATCTATTAAGGTGATGTGTATAATTAATTTTTTATTTTATTTATTTATGTTTATTTAGATACATCAAAAAATTTAGAAATCATAGTACGTGCATGATTTGTTTTTGTAATTTTATTTATCTCTATTGGATTTGATATGGAAATAAAATAATTTACATTAGTTAAGTAATTTCATTGTTTATTGGTAGAGTGTAGTGCTAATTAATTATCTAAACTCAACTACCATAGCTAGCAACTAGTTTTTTTGCTCGCACTATGCTATGGGATAGACAAACGTGTAAAATTATTTTAAAAATTTATTTCAGTTTAATGGTCCTTGATATATTGTAGGTCCATAAAAATATATAAAATCAAAAGTTTAAAAAATCCAATTTTATAATATTTTATTCATTTTTTTTATCTAACTATTTCTTCTTCTTTTTTTCATAATTTTCTACTTGAAAAATATTAATTCTTCTTTATCCTCGGATTCTTAAACAAAAAGATAATTAAAAAATATTAATTATTCTTTGTATATTTATTAAGAAAAAATAATAATATTAAAATAAAAAACTATATTCGAATCATTGAGTTAATTATGGAACAACATAATTTCATATATGTAATTTGAAAGAACTTGATTTAAAATGTCTATAAATAAATAAATAGTAAAATGCTTAGTGTTATAATAGTTTCATAGTTGATATCCGTAAAAATAAATGATTCAATTTTTTATATTATAAATATATTGAGTGGGCTTAGAGTCTACGTTGTAAAACAAAAAATATTTAAAAAAAATTACTTGTAAGGAATATATTGAATAGATTCAAAATTTATAGATTAAAATAAAATTTATTAAAAAAATAATTCTTATAAATTTTGATATAAAGAAAAACCAAATATAACACATGAATTTCTCTTCTTTTTTTTCTTATTAAACCAAACAGAATACATGAATTAAAAAATTCTAAGAATCAATTATCCAGATTATATCAATTCATTTTTTTTAAAAAAAATCATGCTTTAAATTTTACTCTAAAATCTAAAATTAGGGATAAAAGTGTAATTTTTGTAAAAACATTGCATATAAAAGAGTTTTTTGTAGGATAACAAATAGTGTAATGCAAAATAGCAAATAGTATTTTGGGATGCATCTAGTAAAATGCCAACAAAATACCAAAATTGACGAAAATTCTATTGTTATACATTGCATAAAATGCCCTCAATTTTTTTGAAATTCATGAAATTGCCATTAATGTTATGGCAGAGTATTAAATACTCTAACAAAGATGAAAACGAAATGTAAAAAGAGGACAAAAAAACTTGTAGGAAAAAAGAAGGGGGTAAGACAATAATAGCTAAAAAACACTTAATGGTAGAAAGGAAAATTAAATTAGAAGAAGGGGTAAGAAAAATGAGTAAGAAGACAGCTAAAGATTACAAAGAAAGGCACAAAGCAGAAGAGGGAGAGAATTAAGCAAAAGAAAAGGAGTAAAACAAAGAATTATTCATATGAACGAGTCAATCCACGAGTAATTTAAGTATGTATGAACAATACAATGAACAAGGTTTTTAGTTTTTTTATAAATATTCGCGCCGCGTCGCGGATCGAACACAATAAATGAAATTATTTCAAAAAATATTATAATTTAATAGTTTTTGTTATGCTATAGATCTAATAAATCTATTGAAATCAAAGGCTATAGATCTAATAAATCTATTGAAATCAAAGGCAATATATATATATATATCACCAAATTTTATGATTTTTTAATCAAAATTTTGTATTCAATTAATTATCTCTTATGCTTTTGAAAATATTTCCTTCTTAAAAAGCACGATTTATTTTTTTCATCGGAGAAGTAATTACGAATAGGAGTAAAACGTATCACAACTCCTGTCAAACAACGTGGAACAAGTTTGTAGCTAAAAAATTCATTTCAATATATGTATTAACTTCCTTTATAAAAAGAAAATGAATTTTTCATTTTCTAACATGTTTGTTATGTTTTTTAGCATGTTGTCCATAATTACCGGCCTTATTTTCTATTTGGATGTGTTAGAAATACCTACC